GGGGGGACCCTCTGTGTGTGTATATATATTAGTGTACATTAGAATGAGTTTAGTCTCAAGTAAATTGGCTTGTCTTGGACCCTCCACTGTGTCACATTGCATCATGAAATGTCAAAAATTACAAATGGCCAGTTGATTTTTACTTGATAAACGCGTAAGTTTTCAACAAGCTGCAAAGGTAAGACAGAGACCTGGGTGTCAAGCTGTGTGAGTGAACGTAAGCAATAAACTTTTTTTTTTATTTACGATGATGAGGGGGTGAATTTTTAAGGCAATCTGCAAAGTCAATGTTACACCCTCCACTGGGAGTCAGCAAATGCTGTTCCCCACAGGCCACATCTGACCCTCAAAACCTTCTTGTCAATAAAACGTTATTGGAACACCCCCATTTGCATTCTCTACATATTGTCTACAATCCTGTTTCTGCACCCTATGAGAGTGGAGAAAATACTCTCTGGTCCTCTCCAGAACGCAATGGCCAACTCCTAGATTAGATGAGGGCCAGCACAGGTACAAGCTTATTTGGAGATGAAAGAGAGAGAGGCAGACTTCTTAAAAGATACAAAGTTTTATTAAACAAACCTGGAATCAATAGTATTATTACATAAATTAGACAGCAGTAAAATTTTCCTAGGGTATATATATGTACAAATCACAGTGATTTCCATTGTGCAACAAATTGACAGGATTAGAAAAAGGCTTCGGCGTACGGCTTTCCCCGATGACAAGACCCACAAAGGCACTCCCCACCCCCCATGCAGCTTGCACTCCTGTGGGCCCCAGAAGCACCTAGGCACTAAGAAAAAAATAAAATAGAATAAAATAAAGCCCATTGTGCCAGAAACCGATCTCAGAGGACAAGGAAATACACAACAAATAACTTTTACTCAACGAACAGACTTGCACACTGCTGAAGATAAAACCAAGGCTCAAAAGGAACTTCTCAACGCACAAATAATTTATAGAAAACCATTCAAAGCCCTTCCCTCTTTTGTTGAGGAAGGTCTGTTTGGTAGGAGGCAAGGCCAGGGGATAAAGAGCAAACACAATGGAAATGTTACAATTAGGGAAAATACACCCATCCAACTTCAAGGAGGCACACACGCTCAGAGGCACTCACGGCACTCACGCCCAAGGAGCTGTTCAAATGCACCATGGACACACCTGTTCTTTGCTCTTCTCGTTTCTGTTGAGGGAAGCACGGCCGCTCACGTTGGACTAAATAGAGGCCTCCGTCAGCAACAAGGTAAAAAATGGTACCTAAGGCTCGCTGAAAGCATACAGAATGCACGCTGGGTAGATTCAACAGGGGAAGAAAAAGAGCATCAGAGTTCAAATCTCTACAGCTGGAGCAACTAGGGATCCAGGGATCGTGCTAAGGCAAGGTAAACTCGAAAGAGGCTGGGAGTTATAAACCCAACCAAGTTCTGATCTCCCACTTTGCTAACCCAGTCACAGCAGCAACGATTTTGACATTCCTGTGTGACGTTTGTGCAGTCTCAGGGGATAGGAACCCCCAGACCTGTGCTTTTTGCGGGGTGTTTTTCTTGAACAGTATTAAGCCACAGTTTCACAGTTAAGAGTGGTCCCAAAACCTAGAGGCACATGGGTCAAACAGACGGGACGTGAAATGAATCCCAATCCAGCCATTCAACTGTTTTAGGCTCAACTGGTCATTTTTTTAATGAGTAGGGATTTAGTATGATTTACTTTTCAAGTATTGATGGACAGAAGGAAAGACAGCACAGTGGTAGAAATTTACTGACAAGTGCAGGTGATCCGTGAACATGCATGGAGCAGGGGGGTCTTCCAGAACGTTGAAGGTGTGGGCTGCGCAATCCCACTGTCATGCTGGGGGTTCTTACTAGTGACAGCAAAAATCCTGACTTGTGGGTCATATGGCCCAGGGTATAAAGAGCAAAGTTGATGGACATGTTACAATTGGTGAAAACTGGGTGGCGCCTGTGGCTCAAAGGAGTAGGGCGCCAGCCCCATACACCAGAGATGGAGGGTTGAAACCCAGCCCTGGTCAAAAAACTGCAAAAAAAAAAAAAAAAAGAAACAAACAATTGGTAAAGACACACCCATCCACCTTCAAGAAGACACACACAATCATGGCCATGAACATGGTTATGCTGTGCAGAAATTCTGCACTTTACGTCAACAAGGAACTAATGCAAATCTATGCTTAGAAATCCTGTACAATCACCACTGGTGATTTTATTTCCTTTCTGGGTTGACCAATTCCTATTGAAGCAGGCTGGGGGCATTTGGAATGCCCCTCTTCTTCCTGTGCTACAGGCATTTCCTAAAGGTATTTCTTCTACGGTATTTCCAATTTCAGAAAATATCGCCAACTCAGAACACTGCGTAAGACAAGATAAATCTACAATTTCTTTTTCAAATTCAAATTTTGTAATTTTATTCCCCCTCAACATCCCACGTGGTGATTGCTTTTGACCACTGCAATGAAAATTTCAGACCGTCTGCCAAGGCAAAGTATTTTTAAGTGATATCATAGTGATTGTTCCAGGTTGATGATTCATTTTGATTAAACTGGTCTTTACCACGCCGGTGAATTTATGGTATTTCGGGACAGTTAACACACAGCCTCTGCCACCGGAGATAGTGCAAGGTTCAGGATGGTGGAAAGTGGGATTAAGTCCATTATGTTTTCTTGGAGGTCCATTGCATTTTTCATTCACTTTGCACGTGTGGAGGCTGATGATTATGTCCACCAAGGAGAAGGGAATCAATGTTTGATTTTCCTGCACACTTCTTCTACATTAAGATAAAGCATGAACAGACTTTCTTGATGTTAACTTTTCATCTCAATATGAAATCCTGGATAATAAAAACAGAAGCTAAAAGTAGTCATATGAACTAGTGCATCTATGTACAATTTTGTTATATTCAAACAAGGTGTTTCATTTGCTTATTTCTTTTTCCTTTTAAAAGGAGAAGGCTCAACGATAATTTATTTTTATTGTCAGAGGACATGAGGTTTATGATGCTTTCTCTTTCCAGCTGTGTATATTGGTGCACAATTTTACCTTCAAAGATTCAAACAGTAAAACATTTCCGAAATCAGAAGCTGTGTTTGTAGCCAGTTTTGGTCGACAACTGTTAATGCAAACAGCACGGGGATGGAGAAGCATGCAGGGAAAATACGGTTCTGCAGAAACACTTTCACGGCTCACCACGGCTCACCTTCTAACCACTCTCGCCTACTAAGCTGAATCCTACATGAAGAAAAGGCCACTTATGATGAGGGGAGGAAGACCGATGGTTTCCTTCTCTCATTTCTCTCTCTTTTTTGAACCTTTTGAAGATCCAACTTGTCCTCATTCTGCCTTCAAGTGCAGAAAGCCATTCACTGCCTTCTTTTTGGGGGGTGAACTCTGGCCCAATCTGGTAGGCAAGTGTGTGTTTCCTTTAATGTGTTGCTATTCTGCAGGGTCCGAGCCTGTGACGAGACATCCAACAGATGTCAACAGTGCCTTGTTCGAGCTGAGTCACCGTAGACAGAGAAAGTGCAGCCTATTTAAATTTTCATGGACACGTTTAGAATCAGAAAGGCAAGACAAAAGTTATGTGCAATGCAGACCCGGGAGAGGACCCTGTGATGATCTGTCTTTAAGATGCATTGCAGCTAAGATCTACATTTAGCAAGAAATGCGTCCTGGTAAAATAACAATCAGGCCTTCATTAACCCTCCTTGGCAAGGGTGGGGGGACATTTGGAAGATGTTCCTCAGGGGATTTTCCCAATCAAATCTCAAGGGAAAAAATCTCACTCTCTCATTATTCTACATAAGCAAGAAGGATTTTTCAGAGGAGAGTACTGGATGGATGTAAATGTAGAACATTCATTCCCAAGGAGAAATAAAACAGGTCCAAGCCACTGAGGGTCGGTTTCACTCTGCTACACGTTCACATCATACACGGCGTTCGTTTTTTTATGCTTTCTCTAAAACTAAAGGCAAAAGAAAAATCTTTGCACAAAGGTTGTCCTTTGCTGCTGGGCCAATATGAAAAGTTATTTGTGGGTTGAGGGCATTGACTCACACCTATAATCCCAGCACTCTGGGGGGCCGAGGGGGGGAGGATCCACTTGAGGCCAGGAGTTCAAGGGGGGGCCTGAGCAAGACAGAAAAAAATAGAAAACTAGAAAAATTCACCAGGCATGGTGGCATGTGCCTACAGACCCAGCTACTCGGGAGGCTGAGGCAGTTGGATCGCCTGAGCAAGATAGTAAGACCCTGTCTCTCCAAAAACTAAAATTTATCTGAAGGTGGTGGTGGGCACCTGTAGTCTCAGCTACTTGGGAGGCTGAGGCAGGAGGATCTCTGGAGCCCAAAAATTTGAGGTTGCTGTGAGCCATGATGATATCGCGGCACTCTCCTGGGGTGCTGCCAGAGCAGGACTCTGCCAAAAAAATAAAAATAAATACAGAAATAAAATAAATAAGTTACTGGTGAGCTTTAGGACACGCTTTTGTTCAACAGGACTTGCAATAGGTTGTCATGACCCTGCACAAAATGAAATTTTCGAATGTAACACAGAAGATTTCCTGGATATAGTACATTCTTTGAACAACTTCAATGCTCCTGGCAATTCATGGCATAAAATCACTCCCCTTGCTCCTTCCCTTTCTTTCTTCTTTCAAAGTCTCAAGTTACCAGGTAGGAAACAGTAAAGATACTACGTGGAGGTCTCCAGACGATATGTTCTTCTTCCCAACTGCAACATACATAAGACATAAAAACAACAATAACAAAAATGCATACAACACACCCTTTAGATTTTATCCCCCAAAACAGATTTTTGGAGGAAAGAAAATATTGAAACAAAAAAATCATAAACTCTGCAAAGGATGAACATTTACATCATTGCACAACTTCTGTGCCCCTGTGATAGTTGCTACTCGGTGGACGCACACACACACACATGCACACGCACACGCACACACACACGCGCACACACACACACACACTCACAGCAGGTTCTGTGGTTATAACCACACAAGTCTAGCTCAAACTTAAAAAGTTCGGTCTACGGAAAAAACTGAGAAATCGCAAAAGGAAAACGCACACTCAAAGATAAAAATCTACAAGCAAACAATGTTTCAAAACTTCCAGCAGTGCAATAAGTTTTCCAGTTGCTAAAATAATGCCAGTTCTGTGAACTTCAAACGCCTCCTCCAGTGATTTTTAGACACGGACGACGTGTGTGTGTGTATAAATGAGGGAACGTCTTTATCGCACGAAGCGACAGCTCTTCTCATCTGCACAGGTGAAGTTCTGTATCCCAAGCAGGCTCCCATCTTCCTGATTCTAACACGAAATGAAGACCAAGGATTTGGTTAGTTCCTAAGAAACGGCAGGGATTCATCATCATCCTGATCTTACTGATAACATAATCATTCCCTCTTAATATGTAACAACTTTCCTTGACAATTCTTTTTGCAAAGATCTTCAAACCCAAATTCTAACTGGGGAATAGTGGTTCCCTTATAAAAAGAAATGAAAGGGTATTTTAAAAGCACTTATTATTTTTTTTTTTTTTGCAGTTTTTGGCGGGGCTGGGTTTGAACCCACCACCTCTTGATGAATTCCCAAAAATTCATTAAGAATTTTATCCCACGGCACCCACAAAAGTACAGGGTGTCCCCAAAGTTGCCACACATAGGGGAAAACGTGTGTATATGGGGCTGGCACCCTACTCCTTTGAGCCACAGGCACCACCCCTAAAGGCATGTTTTTAAATGTTGCGTAATAGCCTTAACCATAATTAGATGAATTTATTCACCAACAGGTGATGAAACTGAAATGAAACCCCTATTTAGAGACCCTTACAGAAAGGCAGAAAATATTTTATTGCATTGGGTCTGCAAGTTACTTCTACTAAGTAACTGTAATAGATTAAAATACCATCGTCCCTTGTTTTTGTAAGATGAGAATAGAATTCAAATTTGAGTAAATAGGCTCGGCGCCTGTGGATCAAGCGGCTAAGGCACCAGCCACATACACCTGAGGTGGCGGGTTCGAATCCCTAGCCCGGGCCCACCAAACAACAATGACGGCTGCAACCAAAAAATGGCCAGACGTTGTGGCAGGCTCCTGTGGTCCCAGCTACTTGGGAGGCTGAGGCAGGAGACTCGCTTGAGCCCAGGAGTTGGAGGTTGCTGTGAGCGTGATGCCACGGCACTCTACCCAGGGGGATAGCTTGAGGCTCCGTCTCAAAAAAAAAAAAAAAAAAAAAAACAAATTTGAGTAAATACTAAGCAATTTGATCATGAAAGAACTTCTTGATTCCCAAAGATTCATCAAGAATTTCATCCCACAGCACCCCCAAAAGTACGGGGTGTCCCCAAAGTTGCCAGACATAGAGAAAAACGTGGACCTTTATTTGCAAAATATTCATTATGAAATTTAGCAAAGTGGTGTGCAACGTGGAGAGAATATTTTGTAAATATTTTCTAAGGAACATTTTTTTTTTTTTTGCAATTTTTGGCCTGGGCTGGATTTGAACCCGTCACTTCCAGCATATGGGGTCGGTGCCCTACTCCTTTGAGCCAGAGGCACCACCCAGGAATATTTTCTTTTTTCTTTTTTTTTTTTTTTTGACAGAGCCTCAAGCTGTCCCCCTGGGTAGAGTGCTATGGCATTACAGCTCACAGCAACCTCCAACTCCTGGGCGAGTCTCCTGCCTCTGCCTCCCAAGTAGCTGGGACCACAGGCACCCGCCATAACGCCCGGCTATTTTTTGGTTGCAGCCGTCATTGTTGTTTGGCGGGTCCAGGCTGGGGATTTGAACCCACCACCTTAGGTGTACGTGGCTGGCGCCTTAGCTGGTTGAGCTATAGGCGCCCAGCCAGGAATATTTTCTTAAATGAAGTTATGTTTAGCTACAATTTCACATTTTCCTCCTGTGTGGAGACTTTTGGGATCCCCTATATACTGAACGTGATTCCACCTGGAAAAAATTCTGTCTACACAGAATTTTCTGAGAATTTATATCCCACATTCAGAAAGGTTATTACTATTTGTGGAGTGTCCTTATCACATAGCTCGGACAAAAACCATCACAGGGAAAGGCTCTTTCTGTAAGTAAATTTCATCATTTACGGCTCTTTATTAGGGAAAGGCCCTACTCTCATTGCGATATTATCAATTAAAGGTCCTTCATTCTAGAACAAATGAAGACTTTTCATCACCACAAACATTTCTCAGAGAGACATATTCCTAAAAATGTTGTGGGAAATCAGACAAAATATTAAGCCATGGGGTACACCGGGAAAATGATGATGACAAAAAAGTAACAGTTTCAGGAAACATCTTGTGATAAAAAAATAATAATAATACAGGTTGTGGAATTCATGAGCTACGAGATGCCGATAGTTAGAATTCCCTCGTGTTAATACAAAGGGGAAGTATGTGGCCTCCATGAAGGAGTTCATGGCGTATCAAGAGATTAAACCATACACAGAGATTATTTTTTCACCAATGTAGACACCTATTCTTCTATCACTTTTTTTCTCTATCACTTTAACTTTTATACAGTTTTTTCTTTTTTTTTTTGGATTTCTTGGTACAAACACAGAAATAGCAGCAGACAATGGAGGTTCCTTTGGAGACATGTGTCTCAGCAGGCAGCACCCTCCCGCCCTGCGCACCTGTTGTGAGATCCGGCATCAGTCACCAATGGTGCTCAAGTATTTAACTTAGATTACGGGAATGGGAATCAGAATGAGAAAATAATAGCAAGCCTTGTCGTTAATGACATGTCACCGACAATATTTTCTTTTTCGCCTTTCACTAGATACTTTTCTTGTTTCGATGTTATCGAGGGAAAGATCTCATTTAAGAGGATCAGATGAGCAAAATCATGTTTTGGTCATCTCAAGTTAAGCTTAACACATTTCAGATAAGGTATACCTTGCTATGTTTATTTACTGACTTACTTAATTTATATATTATTTATTTATATATATATTCTTGGAGACAGAATCTCACTCTGTCGCCCTGGGGAGAGTACTCTGTCCTAGCTCACAGCAACTTCAAAGTCCTGGGCTCAAGTGATCTTCTTGCCTCGGCCTCCTGAATACCTGAGATTACAGACGATGTCCCCCCACCCCACCCCAACAACACCTGGCTAGATTTTTTTCTATTTTT